AGCTAAAGCAGGCTCTAGCTTGGCATCATTCTCGTCCTTTTGAACTCTTAGCTGAATGTTTGACTCCATTTTCTCTTCAAGTTCAGCCTGAATTGTAGCTAGCTCATTACGTGAGGCTCTGTTCCTTCGCTGAATGTCAGAAAGAGTTGTCTGGCATTCAAGTGCCGCGCTAAAGGCCCTAGCGGTTTGGTTCGCCATGGTGGCAGTGAGATCCACTGCATCACAGTTGGCTACATAATTCTGCCACCTCTCAGTCCAGAACTTATTGAATCCCTCAGTGGCACTCCTCACCTCAGGAAGAAGCATCTCTATCAAAGCAGGGGCTATATTGTCATCCCTGCCCCCCAGGAAGTTCCCAGACTTCCCTGGGGTCCTTTCTACTGGTGCCTTCTTTGTGGCCTCGGAGGCCTTCTTCGCTTCTTCGATTATCCTCCGAGATTTTGCCTCCAATGCAGCATCTATTGAAGACTGGAGGAGCTTCGGCTACTTGGGTACGTTTTTCTTAGCATAGGACACTGATGTCCCAAAACTTGAAAAAGACCCACCACCTGGGCCCAATTTCAACCAGGCCCTTACCTTTGGCAGCAGGTGATTTACCCCCTTTGGAAGCCTCCTTGGAAATTTCCTCTTCAGCCTCTTTCCCAGATTCAACTTTAATGAGGCGATCGAGCCTCGATTTTACTTGTTTGGCTTTTGAGGACCCAGGCTTTAGTACCTTCGCCCCAGGAGTGGACGTGGCCTTCATAATGCTAGCCATGTTAGGCTGAGCATACTCTTTCTTGCTGAGTTTATCCGCAACCATCAGAGGAAAAGTTAGACTACTGAAGCCATGTGAAGGTTAGAAGTTAGAAAGCTTCTTACCCTTAGGAGGCATTAGTCCAAAATCAATGAAGTATCGGTCCCTGTCGATAAGATGAGCAAAGCTTTGGAGCCTCAGAGATCGTTTGTAAATGTCCTCAATAATACTCCACTCTGTTTCGGTTAGCTTGTACCTCGAACTGCAATCTACAAATCAACAAACAAGAATTAATACTAAGAAGCTATGCAGAAATTACAAATATTCAAGACGAGGTACACAAGCTTCGTAGTACTGGGTCGGCACGGTAACGGTTGGCACAACATCTCCCTCAACCATCTGCCACCTACCTTCACCCAGAACCAGGACTCCTTCCATCCCTTTATGGAGGAAGGGGGGCCAACTATGAAGGGAGCATGGGATCCCCAAGGGGTAATATAGTACCACCCCTTCGAGTCGTCTTTGCCCACTACCTTAGCGTGGAATAAAGTTTCGAAGACATGCAAAGGAATCTCCTCGCCTAAGGACACCTCCTTCCAAAGGAAGTAGGCCCCTACGACTTGACTCCACCTGTTTGGCAGAATTTGGGTGGGGGGCAACCTGAAGGTCCTCAGCACCGCCCTAAAGAATGGGTGTAGAAGTAGACGTACACCTGCTTTAAGCTAGTATTTACTAAAGGCGACACAACACGGCCTCAGAAAATAGGCTCTTTCATGAGGCTCGGGGACTATCAGTTCTATATAGTGAGGTATGTTGTAAGTCTCCCTAAACTCAGCTAATTTGGAAGAAGTTATGGAGAATGGAACTTTGGCTGCCTCCCAACCCACCTCATAATCTATGGGCTCCTCAATCATACTGTACCACTCACCCGATGCCTTAGATATAGACTCCTCCCCATGCCTAACTAAGGTAATGGCCATTGAAGCCTCGAAAGACATTGAAGTTAAACAAAAAGAAATGATATTGAAGAACGTAGAAGACTCAACAGAATACCTGATTGGATGGAGAACTTAGAAGACTCCCCAGAAGATAGTGGCCGAAAAACTCTTTGACAGCAAGAAAACTTGAGAAGATTTGATGAATTTTCGCAAACGGTAAAAGGTTGAAATGATAAGGTTTTGGTTTTTATACGAATGAAGGATTCGACCCTGACCTTGGATTAAGCTTACATTTATACGAGTGAACCCGGTATCTGTTGGCAATATTTTTTGGGGTCAACAGATTAGCGCTTCAGATTGACTGGATTTTGATCCAATGCCTCAGATTTATGCGTGCTCATCACAACTAGTTGG